CAAAGTGGGGTGTAATCAGCAGAGCAAGCAAAGCAGAACAAGCTCAGGGTGGATCACAATGTCACCACACATTCTGAGCACAAGTACAAGAAGCAATAGTTTAAAGTTCACAATTATGAGCAAAGCTAGAGGCTATCGCAGAGGGCAAGTGAGGAGGAGGAGGCGAGACTGTAAGAGGAGAGGAGATAGGAGGCGACGACTGAAGCTGCAGACACACGGGCAACAGGAGGCACACTGGCACAGCGGCTACCGGAACAGCGCTCCGGACTACTGGAGTAACTGGCCCCGCGGCTAAAAGTAGCGGCAGACGAGCAACGGACCCACGGGCGACTGGCACAGGTGGCTGCGACTGGGCTACCGGAGCAACTCCCCGGACTACAGGTGCTGCTGGCGACACGACGGCAACCTTCGTTCAACCTCCCCAAACAGTCCCACCCCCCCTGACACACACCCCCTGCTTCACCCCTAGCTCCACTCCCCCTTCACCCCCCCTTAGTACCACTCCGACGGCTCCAACAGGTCCACCCCCCCTCAGCGGCAGCTGCAGCACAGGGAGACGGAGGAGGAGGAGGAGCAGGGAACGGCACACAGAAGCTGCACCCCCATACCCCCCACCCCCAAACCCTAATCCAGGAGAACGGGCAGAAGGAGGGGTGGGGCGCCTTCAGAAGCACGGGGAACAGCGGGGAGGACAGGGGCAGCGAAGAACGGGCCGCCCACGGGCCTGGCACAGCCTCCCGAACCGCGCGCAGGCGGCCCGAGCCGCGCGCGGGCCTGGCGCAGCCCGTACGGGCCGCGCGCGGGCCTGGCGCAGCCCGTACGGGCCGCGCGCCGGCTGTACGGGCCGCGCGCAGGCCACGACGGGCGACGGGGGGCGACGCGCGGGTCCCCGTCGCCCGTCGTAGCGCCTCCTGGGGGCGACGCGCCGAGTGACGGGGCAGAAACCCGTCGCGCGCCTCGGGGCGCACGGCGGGCAGAAAACCGCCGCGCGCCTCGGGGCGCACGGCGGGCAGAAAACCGCCGCGCGCCTCGGGGCGCACGGCGGGCTGAAAAACCCTAATTTCGACGCCGCGCACCACGGGGCGCGCGGCGGACAGGGAGTAGCAGTAGCAGCGGAAGCAGTGAGGTGGGGCCCACAGGCCAGGAGCATATCGCTCTAATACCATGTGAAGATAAGCAGTAGAAGAAGGCGCCATAGCTAGGAAAGCCCTAGCTAGGCAAGAAACAGTTTAGGCAAAGAGGGAGAGTTCACTAGCAGGAATGGGGATACAAATAGCAAACCCTAGAAGGGTTGTACTCGCTATAGAGCACCCCACTACAGGCTAGAGCATAACATTCTGACATTCATCACTTGGACGGGGGGCAGTTGTTGTTGATTTGTCTGTGTCGAGGGAGAAGGTATGCGCGGCGGTATCACGGCTTTTCTCAGGCGGTTGTCCAGGTTGTACTGGTTGGGAAGAGGTTCCCGCATCGCCTTTGCGCAGGTCTTGGAGTTCTTTCTCCATAGTTGAAAGTCGAGCGAAAAGTTGCTCGAGAGCGGCAGTGCCGATCGTAGTTGTCGCCTCATTGGTCGCAGCCCAGGCCTCTGGATAGGATTTGAGTTGGTCTTTCCCATAAGGCCAACATCCTAGTTTCACTCTTTCAATCAGGGTACAAATTCAGAACACACTTATAAATCAGGGTGGAACTTTAAACAAGTCGCCAATTATAGCTTTACAAAACAGTAAACACGTGTTATGGTGTTCAGTTGTGTTGGAGTGATCATTCGATCATTTGTAGTGAGCACGCGTGTTCAAAACCCGCCGTAGGCACTCGCCACTACCCTTTTCGCGTGGAATTCTGACAGACTCGGTAAGAACTAGATCAGTACCGTCAGTGTAACTACATGGAGTTGTTCAAAAGCACTATGAAATATCAGTGTCGTAAAACTAAAACACTTTTTCTTGTAAGGGTCAATGAAAAAGCCACTCTGGAAAAAAAGGGTGCATAAGAAAACCCACCCTTATAGTAAGTGTCATAAGGGTGAATCACCCTTACATCAAGAGGCCTGTCGCAGCCGGATTGGATTGTCCTTCAGCCGTCAGATTTGCTTGGCCTCTGGATCCTCCGGCCATCTTGGTCTTGGAGCGTGTGCCGCTCGCCAGATCTTGATTCGGCGAATTTTACGGAAGTGAAGTTGCGAAGAATCCCTGAGTAGCTCTCATACCATGTTACAATCCCAAGTGGGAATTAGCGAAGGATCGCTCAGGGTTGATCGCAGAGTAGTATTGCAGCGGAAGTTTGAATCTCAGGTCAGAGTGAATGTATATGACTGAGTTGATAAAAGCATGCATACATCGGGTTTATATAAGAATACAGGGGAATACGAAAAGACCTAGACTAGCCATGTACTCTAAGGGGTACATTCCTTTATTGCAGCGAATTCAAACCGTGCGGCGCGGGAACCCGTTTTGAACCTGTTCCCGCTCTTTTCACTTGAAGTGTTTCTGCCTGCATCGGTCTTGGTCAGACGGTTGCTGCGTCGCTTCGACTCTTCTGACTCCTCGACTTCGTACTCGGTAGAGTTGGCTCCTGCAGCATATAGGAATGCCTTCTCATAAAACTTCATATCGTAACACAATATATACCTTAGGTTGGATTTTTCAGCCGTAATGCCAAACTAACGTTCGGCAATCCACCCTAGGGCTAAGTCAAATTTGCTCAAACAATGAAGTATTTTTTTATCATGGCACAATATTTATGCTACATGGGTTAATATCAGTGCCCTTGGTATCAAAACTTAGTGAGCAGCAGAAGCACGAGGGTTTATGTGGGTCAAATTTGCACATACTTATAAACGTGTTATCTCTCTATGATGATTTACACATTATGATTGCAAATGTTGGGAGTAATCTTCTTCAGTCTCACAAATGAGTGATTCACCCTCATCACCCTCGTTTTATAGTGAAGAAGTCCTCTCGGTGTGCCAGCTCAGATGTAAATACGACAATCAATGACCCGCTTACTTTGAAAAGGACAAATGTTCCATAAATTTTGCATTTCAACACAAGATGTTTTGCATTTCATCGAAGTTTCTGCATCTTCCAGCTCAAAATTCATGTAAAAAAGACAATTCGTGGCTCGCATACGTCGTGTACTTGCGAAGATTGTACCAAATGTTGCTAGACTGGCAGCAACTGATCATAGCACATGTAGCTACGCTGTCGTAAGCCAGTGGTACTGGGCCGCGAAATGAGGAGTATGAATTGGCGTGCTTCCTTTCTGTTACACCTCTACGTTCTTGGCTGGTGTCAAGATTTGTTGTCAGTATCGTCGAGCCATACATCTCTACAGTCGTGATCACAGTCATCACATGACGCAGACACTGTACGGTTGTGTCGTTGATAGGGCCGCAGTGGTATCGGAGTCCTAAGGGCGCGGTGCAGCTAGGTTTTGTTTCCTGACTCGCTCGAAGCCGGCCGTGCAACATCGAAGAAACACTTAGTGAAAAATCTGTAGGAGACATCACCAATCCGAATCACGCTTTCAGTTGGCTGTTGTGTACCCGCTTCTGCGGTGGAGATTTTTGTTTCGTTGCCGAGCGTTAAACGAAAACGAAGGAGCTGTTGAGTAGGGGTTTAAACGAACAGAGACGCGGAATGATCGAACCAGCAGACCAGTGGGGAACAACGAACATATTTTTTCGTCAGGCTGGGATACTGGGCAGCATTGTCACGGCACAGCAAACCACACTTCCACAAGATTGACATGGCAACAGCCAGGCAGCATGAGGGGGGTGGGTCACACACATGGGTACGGTTCATGACTGTTCAAAGGGGTGAAGCCCATAGACCGTTCTAAAATGCACAAAATCGTAGTCAAACGCTTTTTGAAGCCAGGTTTGACCCGCCCTATGCACAGTATTCTTGTTGAAGATCCTACTGTCCTGTCAGACTCCTTTTCATGCGTCTCGTGTTCTCATATTGACATGTGACAGCAGCATTTATTCCACCCCTCACTTCAGGGTGTCTTCTATATAATAACGGAAACCGTGAAGGGTGTATTTGTTTTACAAAACAGTGGTTTATTGCGTGTGTGTGGAATCATGCGAGGGCAGGTACACTGCATACTGTTCCACAGGGGAATATCTTGAACTCGATGGATACACAGGCGGTTGGTCGGTAACCCCAAGAGCACATCCTCCTGTGCTCCACGAGAACTTGCAGCTAAGTCATACGGATCAGCGTACCAGCAGCAGTCTCAGCAGCAGCAGTCTCAGCAGCAGCAGTCTCAGCAGCAGCAGAAGCAGCAGCAACAAAACAAGAACAACAACAGCAGCAGCAGCAGCTGGGGCAAGCGACTTTCACAGAAATTGGATCTACTATTTTCAAAAAGCGCTTGTGTGCGTTAGGAGTATTAACCACTAGGTCGTCCCCCTTCAAATTCCGGCTGCCGGCGGCGCGCACGTTTGGGCTGGCCGCCTCGTACGATATGAGTTAACACGCAACTCTGATCAGGAGTCGACTTCTGCTGTTGACTAGGCGCTACTGCTACTCTAATACTACTGACTACCACTAATTCTGACAAAGCAAAGGACTCTCAACGTCAAACTTCACAGGGCTTCACATCTGCCACAGCGAGCTCATTCCTGGTCCGGCCGTCTTACAACTAGCATCAGGTCCCGAGCAACTTGAACGGCTCTAACTTTAAGTTGAAACTGTAGTGGCCACCGACAAATATACTATATATATTGGCAATACTACTACCACCACCCTAAGCGTCAAAAGTGAACAAAACGCCAGAAATCTTGTGGATTATAAAGAGCACAATACATCCCCCCCGCTTCCATTGCCGCTGCTTAGCAGTCTGCTAAAAATAGTTCTGCTACCATAACTTTTGTTCCACGCGCCAACAGCCTCTTTTGGATGCTCTATGAGATGACCAACACTAAGACAAGTAGTAACACACCTGAGCAAGCATATATTAACCCAGGAAGCTCACACTGCCATCCTACTATTAGCATGTCCACTGCCAGTGGCATTACGAGAACCGGCGGCTTTGGAACGACTTACGGTAACTCTGGAGCTATGGCTACCACTACCATCATCGCCGGAGCCGCACCCTGTTGTCCCAGTAGAAACGGTGGCGTCGACACCACGGAAGGCCTGGCTACAAGCTGCTCCTTCTTGCATGGGCTTGACTCTGCTGCTGCTGCTGCTGCTGCTGCTGCTGCTTCTTCTGTCGATGGACTCCCGCTGCGGAGCGGGGAGACAGGAGCGGCGGAAGGAGAAGGTGTGGGGAGTGAGGGGATCATGATGGCGGCATTGGGCGTGGCTGGAGCGTGGAGGGGTCTGGGAGGGGAAGGAGAAGGGGGGGAAGCAGCTTTTGGTGTTGGGATCCAGATCGAAAAGGCGGTGATTGCGGAGCATCCACATGTCACGGTGGAGGGCAAAGGTGGAGAGATGGTAGGGGAAGCACTGGCGTCACCAGAGCAGTACTACATGAGGGCCTTTCCAACGAATGCCGACAATGTTGCTGAGGTGGGATGCATGTTGGATTCTTCTGGCGTTGTAATAGCAGGATATGGAGCTTCAACTACAGCATCCCTGTATGTTTCTGGTGCAAGAAGTGGGAGAATGGAGGGTGCTATTGGCACGGCCCCTCACATACCGTTGGGCAGTGGAGGAAGCAGACAGGCTGAGCACTATTTCTCACAGCCGCAGTACAACAGGCAGCAGCAGCAGCAGCAGCAGCAGCAGCAGCAGCAGCAGCAGCAGCAGCAGCAGCAGCAGCAGCAGCAGCAACAACAACAACAACAGCTGCCGCAGCTTCAACCACAGCAACGACAGGTTCTCACTATTACCAACTTGAACTATGAAGTAGGTGATGTTGCTTCTGGGTCCGTGATGCGGTTTCAGCAGGACTCAACACCTCATGCTAGCCAATTTGGCCCAGGACCCTTCCCTTCACGCCATCCTTCTGTCCTGCCCCTGCCGCATCCTGCCCCTGATCTGGACCACTTCTCGTCCGCAGCGCTAACATGCCCGCTTCCTTCGCCCATCTCCACCTCTTCCCTCTTCACATCCGTTCCACCTCTTCCTGTCTATGCATCAACTTCAAGCGACAGTCACTCTTTGAATGTCCTGCCGCTTCCTCCGCCCCCATTCCATCACCTCTGGTCTCAATATCCGGAAGTGCGAGGACCACCATCTTGCCTATTTTCATCTGACACAGATTCACAATCAGCAGCAGCGGCAGCAGAAGCAGCGGCGGCAGCAACAGCAGCAGCTGCTGCTGCTGCAAACTCTGCTACCAGCAGCACGAGTTCCTCCCTTTCAAGTAACAGTCAGCTGTTGTTTTCAGTGCTGCCATCAGTGGGAACGGTGCTTCCGAGTAATCAAGGCCAGCAGGAACTCCAAGCTTTGGGGATGCAGCAGCATCTGCATCAGCAGCAGCTCCAATCGCTGATGTATCATCATCATACCTTCCATTCTCGCACTCAACAGCAGCAAAACTGGCAACAAAAGCAGGAAAATGGAACACTTCAGCAGCGGCGGCAGCGGCAGCAGCGGCAGCGTCGGCGGCGGTGGCAGCAGCATCAGCGATGGCATCAGCAGCGGCTGCAGCAGCTTCAAATGTCGTATAATATTCAGCAGCAGCAGCAGCAAAATGAAAGGCAGCAGCAGCTGCATAACGAATCACTGCATCATCAGCATCAGCATCAGCCACAGAAGCAGCAGCAGCAGCAGCAGCAGCAGCAGCAGCAGCAGCAGCAGCAGCAGCAGCAGCAGCAGCAGCAGCAGCAGCAGCATCAGCTCCAATTGCTGCATTTCCATCAGCAACAGCAGCGATACGAAATGCAGCAGCAGCGGCAGCGGCAACAGGAGCCAATCCTGGAGCTTCCGGCAGGAGTTGGTGGTGGCTCCGCTTTGAGTACTGCATTCAGCCCCACAGCCCTCCACATGGCTGCTGTACAACCCTCTTCCCGTGTCAACTCCATTGCTGCTTCGGCACTTCATTTTGGGTATGGCCTTCGTAGGGCAGTGGTAGCAGCTCCTGGGGCAAACTGTCCAATTGGTATACCTAATGCCAGAACTGAGAGCGGGGAAGCTTCGGGAGGAAGCCTTTTGCGTGGTGACAGTTGCGGTGGCCTGGCTGGAGTTGGTGGTTGTGTAGGGGTGTGTGGTTGCGTTAGGGTAGGTGGTTGTGCCGGGGTAGGTAGTTGCGCGGGGGTAGGTGGTTGCGCGGGGGTAGGTGGTTGCGGTGGGGTAGGTGGTTGCGGTGGGGTAGGTGGTTGCGGTGGGGTAGGTAGTTTCGCGGGGGTAGGTGGTTGTGCCGGGGTAGGTGGTTGCGCCGGGGTAGGTGGTTGCGCCGGGGTAGGTGGTTGCGCCGGGTTAGGTGGTTGCGCAGGGATTTCGGGGGTTAGTAATAGTGTGCATGAGGGTTCTGCCAACACAGAAACTGCCATAACTGGCCCTGTTACAGATATCATGGAATTCCTATTCTCCCTTGAAGACCTTCATAACAAGGAAGATTCCATGCCTTTGCCTCTCTCCACCAGCGGTCCTGCTTCTATGTATGCTCCCGTCTGCTCCCCCAGCCCTGTCCCCGCCCTCCCCATACACACACAAGCAACTGCAGCTGCAACAGAAGCCGCCGCAGCAGGAGCAGCAGAAACAGTAGAAGCAGCAGCAAGAGCAGAATTGGCGGCAGCGAGAAAAGCAGCAGAAGCAGCAGCAGAAGTAGCAGCGACAACAGCAGCAGAGCCAACGCGAAGAAGCAATTCCGGTGCAGCCCTCACATCAGCAGGCATGTGTCCTGCTTCAGTGCTCGCAGCCATACATCCTGCCATATCTGGTGAAGGTGTTATCCATCCAGGTGTGTCTGAGGAAGGTATGTTTGAAAAGGGGATGACGGACGCAGAGATTGCAGAGTTGCTGCAAAATGTGATGGATCAGGATGAGCTTGTATTGCATGGTGATGATGGTGTTTCAGTGCCACAGGAGGGCCGGTCCGTGGGGCTGATACAAGGGAGTGAGCAGGAGCTTGAGCTACAGCGTCTGCTCAAGAAACAACTGCAGCAGCAGGAGGAGGCAGAGCAGCAGCAGCAGCAGAAGGGTCAAGCACAGGAGCAGCAGCAGTGCAAACTTCAAGAGCCGAAACAAATGCAACAGCATGAGGGAGGACAGCAAGAGCAACAACAGCTGAGGCAACAGGAAGAACAACAGCAGATCCAGCAACTACCGACACTGCAAGACACATCCAGCAAGAGAAGAAGGGTGGGTGTCACACGAATCTTGCATTCCCCTCCTCCATCTTACGTGGTATCACCTTCCATTGAACAACTGAGTGGCATCAGATCAAGCCCATCAGCTGTGACGTGTCAGGCAGAGGGTTGCAGGGTAGACCTGAGCAACGGGAAGGAGTACTATCGACGGCACCGCGTGTGTGACAGGCACTTCAAAGCAGCCACGGTTCCCGTGGAGGGTCGAGCTCAGCGCTTCTGCCAGCAGTGCAGCAGGTGAGCTGCTCCTGCCTGGGTCTCGCACGACCAGCTGAATGTGCCTAGGATTCTGTAAAGGTTCAGAGGGTTTTTCTCCATTCTCCCCTTTTCTTCTCCACTCTGCCACACTATGTAACTTTTCCTGCAGATTAGCCCATCCATCGTTGCCCCTTGATGCTGCTCCCTCCCACGTTTTCCTAATCCCCTATGCCTTCCAGCCGTCCTACCATACTTCTTGCCTTGGTTTGTCCCTCACACTGTGAATCCTCATTAATTCCTTCCCTCCCTCCCTTTATCCCTCCCTCCCTCTCTCCCTCCCTCGCTCTCTCCCTCGCTCCCTCCCTCCCTCCCTCCCTCCCTCCCTCCCTCCCTCCCTCCCTCCCTCCCTCCCTCCCTCCTTCCCTCCCTCCCTCCCTCCCTCCCTCCCTTGCTCCCTCCCTCCCTCCCTCCCTCCCTCCCTCCCTCCCTCTCTCCCTCCCTCCCTCCCTCCCTCCCTCCCTCCCTCCCTCCCTCCCTCCCTCCCTACCTCCCTCCCTCCCTCCCTCCCTCTCTCCTCCCCTCCACCCCTCCCTTGTTTCCTCCCTTCCTCCCTCCATACCCCACAGGTTCCACATGCTGGCTGAGTTCGATGAGGGAAGGCGTAGTTGCCGCATGCGCCTCTTGGGACACAACCGTCGCCGCCGCAAGTCACACACGGTGACTCACCAGCAGAAGTAGCAGCAAGGACTGCAAAATATGTCAGTTTGAGCACAAGAGACAAGCAGAGTGGACAGGGCGGTTGAGGGGACAAAATCATATTGAATGGTGGGACCAGGGACGATGATATATCATGCTAGTGCATGACATTTACAACCTGAGTTGTATGGCCCACGTTCAATTACATGCTGTTCCCCCATTGAGGGCCTTGTACACATAGGCGTGCTATATAGCACGAACAAGCATAGCCATGTGAACGCAGGCTTGTGGTAGGTTACACTGTGCACACGCCCTGGGCCTCACATTCATGTGAAGGGCTTCTAAGGAGGTGTGCTGAAGTTTTGTTATCTTTGGAGTGAGCCTCACTGAACCTTGCACAGGCATCCTTGTGATGACATCCTTTTGCCTTGGATGTGCATAGTGCAACCATTGGACTTGCATCCCACACAAACCATAATCCCCCAGATAAAAGACCCTAGGGTCTTAACAAAATCGCACAAAAAATGGGGGGTTCTTAACAAACGTAACCTTTTACATATGTCCCTGGTCTTAGTACATGGTTATTTTTTCTCAAAACTTTATACAATGAATGCAAGTTGTGTATATTTGTGTCAGTTGTACTTTGCAGCTTGGCCTTATGGTATTAGGTGCGTTATAATAACATGCGCGTTAGGGAAACGGGTGCGTTACGATACTGTGTGTGTTATGGTAATGGGTGCGTTTTGATAACGAGTGCGTTATGGTAACGGGTGCGTTATGGTAACATGCGCGTTATGGCAACATGCGCGTTATGGTAATGGTTGCGTTATGGTAACGGGTGCGTTATGGTAACATGCGCGTTCTGGTAACGGGTGCGTTATGGTAATATGCGTGTTATCGTAACAGATGCGTTATGGTAACAGGTGCATTATGATAACATATGCGTTATGGTAACGAATGCGTTATGGTAACATGTGCGTAATGGTAACAGGAACGTTATGGTAACAGGAGCGTTATGGTAACATGTGCGTTATGGTAACAGATGCGTTATGGTTGATTGGGGTTTTGGTTCCAATAATATTCAGGTTGTTCAATGCTTTTCCCTACGCATATAGGGATTCATGCGCATGTTGGAAAACCCAGCCGCTATCCACTGAACTAAAAGGGCTTGTTCCATAGCGGGTGAGCGCACCCATAACCCCCTAGGCCATCCTTGTCCGTGACCCTTTCCCCGATCCCAGTGCTCCTCCAACAACGCATTTTAAGCATTTGTCGGCAAAAACAATCTGAACCATAGGCGCCGAACTTTTCTCTGAGCACGAACCGAGCTGAAAATGCTCTGATATGTGTATTTGAACATGAGCCAACCGAATATGCAATAACATTCAGATGTTCAATGATTTTCCCTACGCTTATAGTGATTCATGCGCTTTCTAACCATTTTCCGGCAAGAACAGTCTGAATCATAGGCGTCTAACTTTTCTTTGAGCACAAACCAAGTTGGAAATGCTCTATTAATTGTATTTGAACATGGTCCACTCGGATATGCAATAACATTCAGGTTGTTCAATGCTTTTCCCTACGCCTATAGGGATTCATGCACATTCTAAGTATTTGTGGCAAGAACGGCCAGAATCATAGACGCCGAACTTTTCTTTGAGCACAAACTCAGCTGAAAATGATTTGATAGGTATATGTGAACATGAGCCACCCGAATATGCAATAACATTGAGGTTTTTCATTGCTTTTCCCTAGAGATTAATGCATATAGAGATTAATGCACATTCTAAGCATTTGTATGCAAAAACACCCAGAATCATGGACTCCAAATTTTTCTTTGAGCACGAACCCGGCTAAAAATGCTCTGATGTGTGTATTTGAACATGAGCCACCCAAATATGCAATAACATTCAAGTTGTTCAATGCTTTTTCCTACGCCTATAGGATTCATGCGCATTCTAAGCATTTGTCGGCAAGAACAGCCTGAATAATAGACGACGAAGTTTACTTTGAGCACGAACCGAATTGAAAGTGCTATGATATGTGTTTTTTAACATGAGCCACCCGAATATGCAAGAACATTCAGGTTGTTCAATGCTTTTCCCAACGCCTATAGGGATTCATGCGCATTCTGAGCATTTGTCGGCAAGAACGGCCTGAATAATCGACGCCAAACTTTTCTTTTAGCACGAACCAAGTTGAAAATGCTATGACATGTGTATTTGAACATGAGCCATCCGAATATGCAATAACATTCAGGCTGTTCAGTTCTTTTTCCTACGCCTATAGGGATTCATGCGCATTATAAGCATTTGTCGACAAGAACAGCCTAAAGCATAGGCTCCAGACTTTTCTTTGAGCACGAACCGAGCTGAAACTGCTCTAATAGGTGTATTTGAACATGAGGACGCGGTGAAAGTAGACGATCGATCGTCAGTCGCGATCGATGTGCAGATTGGTTACCCGATTAACTAAGGTGTAACCATGCTACAGTACGCTTTCTGGCCAAAATTTCTCTACAGTGTGAGTATGCGACTGATCATTGTTCGCAGGAAATCTGTCAATTTTCAGCCGCGATCGTTACAACGTCGCGGTCGCCACGGTTCGCCAAACGATCTGCCCACTCGATTGTGGGGATCGATATATGCAGACGATCCTGCGATATTTGCACTTTCAACGCGTCCTGAGCCACCCGAATATGCAATAACATTCAGGTCGTTCATTGATTTTCCCAACGCCTATAAAGGATCATCCGCATTCTAAGCATTTGTCTGCAAGAACAGCTCGAATCATTGGCGCCAAACCTTTCTTTGAGCAAGAACCGAGATGAGAATGCTCTGATAGGTGTATTCGAATTTGAGCCACCCGAATATGTAAAACAATTCTGGTTGTTCAGTGCTTTTCCCTTCGCCTATAGGGATTCTTGCACATTCCAAGCATTTGTCGGCAAGAACAGCCAGAATCGTAGGCGCCGAAGTTTTCTTTGAGCACGAACTGAGCTGAAAATGCACTGATATGTGTATCTGAACATAAGCCAACCGGATATGTGCGCCTGGTCCAAGTACACGCCTGGTCGAATCGCACGCCTGGTTCACGAGCGCGCCTGGTCCAACTGCGCGCTTGGTCCAAGAGCACGACTGGTCCAACTGCGCGCCTGGTCCAATTGCGCGCCTGGTCCAAGTGCGCGCCTAGTCCAACTTCGCGCTGGTCCAAGTGCGCGCCTAGTCCAATAGCGCGCCTGGTCCAACTTCGAGCCTTGTCCAAGAGCGCGCCTGGTCCAACTGCGCGCATGGTCCAACTGCGCGCATGGTCCAACTGCGTGGTCCAACTTCGCGCCTGGTCCAAGTGCGCGCCTGGTTCAAGTGCGCGCCTGGTCCAAGTGTGCGCCTGGTCCAACTGCGCGCCTCGTCCAACTGTGCACCTGGTCCAAGAGCGCGCCTGGTCCAACTGCTCGCTTGGTCCAAGAGCGCGCCTGCTCCAATTGCGCGCCTGGTCCAACAGGGCGCCTGGTCTAGGAGCGCGACTGGTTCAAGAGCGGGCCTGTCCAAGAGCGCGCCTGGTCCAACTGTGCGCCTGGTCCAATTGTGCGCCTGGTCCAACTGCGCGGCTGGTCCAACGGCGCGCCTGGTCCAACTGCGCTCCTGGTCCAACCGCGCGCCTGGTCCAACTCCGCTCCTGGTCCAACTGCGCGCCTGGTCCAACTGCGCGCCTGGTCCAACTGCGCACCTGGTCCAACTGCGCACCTAATCCAAGAGCGCGCCTGGTCCAAGAGCGTGCCTTGTCCAAGTGCGCGCCTGGTCCAAGTGCGCGCCTGGTCCAAGTGCGCGCCTGGTCCAAGTGCGCGCCTGGTCCAAGTGCGCGCCTGGTCCGACTGCGCGCCTGGTCCAACTGCTCGATCGACTCCCTCCACGTGAAAAGGTCACGTCGACCTTCCAGCAGCACGGGTACGGCGATCTTGTCCGGCGAAAATGAAATTAAATAGCCATGAGCTGGTGCAATTCCGCGAGCCGTCACGTGTGTCGAGGAGCCCGGCCTGACCCCAGTTCTCTGCGGGGAGTGATGTCGACCGTCGACGTCATAGTGTGAGCTGCTTGCGGCCGCCGTCGCCCCCTACGCTCGCGCATGTATCCCGCCGACTTCGACGGAAGAATCCCTGATTACTCCACGAGTCAACCTCGTGCCTTCACCACTGCCGACTTGGTCACCGACGCCGACCTGCTCGTCGACGGCACCTTCATTGCGCGCCAGTCGAGGAGAGGCGAACACATCGTCCGCTGCAGCACGGGGTGTCGAATGCTCGCGCGCCCACTGCACACGAGTTCCTAGGAGCAGCACCTCCACGTCCGCTCCATCTTACTCGCTGTTCGTATGGCGTCTCTTAACATCAGCCAACCGTGCCTTCAAGCTATCCTCTACCACGCCAGCCTCTGCCGGGGTAGGCGTCAAGGTCTGCACGGGCTGTGGGCATAACAACGACTTAGGTAAGTTATACGTCGGCTAAAATTCTAAAGGTACTGTGCGGGGCCGTCCACGCTCACCGCACCATGCGGAGAGTCACTAAACAACGGGAGTGGAATACGGAGGAGGGCACGGGGTTGTGCGGGTGATCGTAGCATTCTAATGGCGTTCTTACTACTTGTTGTGTTCACAGAGAAATTTGGCAAGAGTTGTCAGAATGCTATAATTGTCTAGTCTGCAGTGGGGTACTCTATAGTGAGTACAGCCCAAATTAGGGTTTGCTGTATGTATCCTATCTGCTGCTAGTGAAAACCCCTCTTTTTTTGTTCTAACTTTCTAGCTACGGTTCTGACATGCTATCAGAGCGAGATCGCTCCTGACCTGTGGGCCCACCTGCTTCCGCTGCTGTACTACCTGTCGCGCGCCTCGGGCGCGCGACATCTCCTGCCTGCCGCGCGCCCTGCTCGCGTGGCGTTTTTTCTTCCCGCCGCGCGCCCTGTTCGCCACGCGCTCGGGGCGTGTGGCGGTTTCCTGCCGCCGCGCGCCCCGGGCGCGCGCGGCGGTTTCGTCGCCCGACGCGGCGCCCCGGGGGCCCGCGCGCTGTCCCCTCCCGTCGCCCGACGCGGCGCCACGGGGGCCCGCGCGCTGTCCCCTCCCGTCGCCCGTCGCGGCGTCCCGGGGGCCCGCGCGCCGCCTCCCCTCCCGTCGCCCGTCGAAGCGCACCGGGGGCCCGCGCGCCGCCCTGCCCGTCGCCCGCCGCGGCGCCCTGGGGGCCCGCGCGTCGCCGCCCCCCTCCCGTCGCCCGTCGAAGCGCACCGGGGGCCCGCGCGCCGCCTCCCCTCCCGTCGCCCGTCGAAGCGCACCGGGGGCCCGCGCGCCGCCCTGCCCGTCGCCCGCCGCGGCGCCCTGGGGGCCCGCGCGTCGCCGCCCCCCTCCCGTCGCCCGTCAAAGCGCCCCGGGGGCCCGCGCGCCGCCCTGCCCGTTGCCCGCCGCGGCGCCCTGCGGGCCCGCGCGTCGCCCCCCCCTCCCGTCGCCCGTCGCGGCGCCCTGGGGGCCTGCGCGCCGCCCTGTCCGTCGCCCGTCGCAGCGCCCCAGGGACCCGCGCGCCGCCTGCGTTTGAGGTATGAGGTGGCGGGTATGGGGGTGACGGGTGTGTGAGCCCTCCCCTGCTCCTCCTCCTCCTCCGTCTCCCACTGCTGCAGCTGCCGCTGAGGGGGGTGGGTGTGTGGGAGCCGAGGGAGTGGCGCTAGGGGGGTGTCGTGAGAATGGAGCTAGGGGTGCAGCAGGGGGTGTGTGAAAGGGGTGTGAGACAGTTGGGGGAGGTTGAGCGGAGGTAGCCGTCGTGACGTCAGCAGCGCCAGTAGTCCGGGGCCCTTGCTCCGGTAGCCCAGCGAGCCTGCTGCGCCAGTCGTCCGTGGGTCAGTTGCTCCTGCTGCTCGTCTTAGCCGCGGAGCCAGTTACTCCTGTAGTCCGGGGCCCTTGCTCCGATAGCCACCGTGTGCGCCGCTCCTGTTGCTCGTGTGTCTGCGGCTTCACCCGTCGCCTCCTATCTCCACTCCTCGCACAGTCCGTCCTCCTCCTCACTTGCCCTCTGTGACTGCTTCTAGCTTTGCTTGTGCTTGTGAACTTCTTATGCGACTGCTTGCTGTGCTGGTCATACCCCACTTTGCCTATGGGGGTGTGTCAGAATGCTATAATTGTCTAGTCTGCAGTGGGGTACTCTCAAGTGAGTACAGCCCAAATTAGGGTTTGCTGTATGTATCCTATCTGCTGCTAGTGAAAACCCCTCTTCTTTTGTTCTAACTTTCTAGCTACTGTTCTGACAAGAGTTTCATTAGAGATTGAGAAGAATAATTGATTACAATGAGACATGCAAGTCGATATAGCTAGAATGGCACTGCAACACCTAGCAAGCCCTCTACATGGCCAACTCTGCCAGCGTAGCAGAAGAGCGGCTTGCCAACGCAGGGCGGCCTGCCAGCGTTGCATCGCGGAGGTCTGCCAGCACTGTAGATGCAGGTGAACTTCTGCGCTTATGCGCACCTACCAAGTAGGTGCAGATAGACGGTTGCGCTGCCAGGCACATTGCGCAGGTGCCAGGTAATACACGTGTCGACGATTTTGCCATCCGTGCATCGTCGAGCACGTGATGCCATTCCCCGGGTCGACTTCGCGAAAACCTCATGCGCAACATTCGCCCACGCGTCGAGTTTCGCAGTCGAGCGACTTGCGTCGACCAGCTAGGCGATGCTCCGTCGAACATCGTTCGCCAAGACGAGCTCGTCGAGCAGAGCCCGTGGACCAATGCTCCTCGACGTGCCTCGTCGACCAGCATCCTCTGCGGGCTCGTCGACGAGCACCCTCTGCCGACGATGCTCGACCAGCACCTCCGCAGAACCTTCTTGACGAGAGAACTCCGTCGGCCTGCTTGCCTAAGTTGGCGTCGACTTCTGCAGTAGTTGGAGTCGAATTCTGCGCACAATCGGCATCGCCTTCTGCGCGTAGTCAGCATCGACTTCTGCGGACGGTCGACATCGACCTCTGCGGGCGGTCGACATCGACTTCTACGGGCGGTTGACGTCGACTTCTGCGGGCAGTCGGCTAGACCCCTCGGATCCGTCTACGAAGTCGGTTCGCCTAAGCGAGGGCGGGGCCATTTTTCGTCAACACTTCTCACATCTTTCTCAATCTTTCAGCTTGCCCCGCAAGAGGGGGCACACATTGATGCGTTACACACTTTCCAGAACATATTTTTTTTCCATTGCAGTGATTTTTATTTTCCAACAACATATGCATTGTTGATGTTTCTACTTTCATATTACACGAGGTATATGAAAATTCCCCATGCTAGTCTAACAATACTGGTAAAGATAATGGCAAAACCTTCACTACGTTATACACATAGCTCGCGCCAAAATTACACCCCGTCAGATTTTCCTTACGTTAAACCCCCGTTTAGCCTTTTTGGCTTTAGGGATCAGACACCCAGGAAATAGGGGCTATGCGTGGCATTGTAAAGTGTAGATGTTGTAAAAATCTCAATCTGTGACCTCAGTGCAAAGACTAGATCTTCTACTCCGACCATGTTATTTGTTTTCCCAATGACCTCTTCTTCTTAAAGCCAATCTGTCGGAAACAACCTTAGATTTCAGGTAAACCAGGAAAGATTGCCCAGGTAGTGAATTTAGCGCGGACCATGTGTAATGCATGGCACTAATATTGTCGAGAAAATTACGCTGATAAAGTGTAGAAGTCCTTGACTGTCAGCTTGATCGACCAATGAAGTGGGGAGTCATGGCAGTTACTTTTTGGTGCTACCTGTCACTGTGGAAGTAACCGACTCCACTGTATCCTTGCAAATCTTTATTTGGGTTGATTGCGTGACGCTGCTTGGGAAAGGACGAGAAATTTACACTGTATGCCTACAGCCAGAAATGTCGGCCTTCCACCACCACTTCAAAGTTACTCCGCCCAGGCTTCATAATCAGAACAGCTTGCAAAAGACAAATAGTGTGACGGTTTTATGACGTCAGGTGATGCTGCTGCTGCATATTGACACACAAAGCTCACCAATTACAAGTTGTGGAAACAGTTATTCCACGATGAGTCCACTTTCTCATTGTACAGTTCAAGTGTACAGTTGTTGTGACCCATTCACCGATATTCTATTGCACGCTTACATTTTTTTTTTCTTGTGTGTTTCTTTGTTTTTGTTGTCGGACATTCTACCAGCAGCGATCAGTCCCACGAAACCTAAACCATGTAAGAGTGGGTGCCATTTGCATCCGCCAATTCGTGACTTTGAGTCCGGAACCTTTCCAGTGGCTCTTATTAAGAGTCAACAGCCAACCGCAGTGTCAAAATGACAGAGGGTTTGAAAAATATAGGGCGTGGAACTATCCCAAACTCGCCTGTGCCCAAGTTTTTGAGGTATTTTTCTTTGTGCACTCCGAAGTGCCCCTAAAAAACACTTAAAACGGATGACGAGGGAGAACACATGATGCTCGTTCCAAAATATTTTCAAGTCAGCACTTCAAAAGCTGTATCGCTATCTAATCGGGAAGTGGATAATTGGCCCTCTGCAAAGGACTTGGGTTACCAGCTCAACTACACTTCCGATATTTAGGCAGCGCAGTGCGTTCTCTCTGTCAAAACGATCAATGTTTTGAGCTTGTGTATATATACTGTGGCCCGTAATCGCATAATACCCTGTAAATAGAAGTGCTTTTGAGCATCTCGGTGTATATATTCCGCACTCATTCTCAACCTGACAGATTGCCGCGAGCTGGATTGGGGGAAGGGCCCTCTGGGAACTGGAAAGAATTCAACTTCACTACAGTCCACGAATTGCATGCAGCCGAGCCGACGCAGCTGTGTTGATCAGTCCAGGTGAAACAGAAACAAGCTGTCTAATGCAGTCCTCAATGGGTGGAACAGTTCAATGCAACAATGGAGCAGTATGGTTCTGATGAAGCCCCGCTGCGTTCCATGCATGCACCAAACCCATCAGCCATCATAATCATCCCTGGGACAAATCGGCAGGCAATCCCCTTCCTGTCGGCGTTGTGCTTTACTCATCATCACAAGAGAGGAGCCTTCTCTCGCCCCCCCCCACACAGCGAAACTGGGGTCGTTTTTCAGCTTCAAAGCAGTGTGGGTGGATTCCTCGGCCAAAGGGCGCTGGTGAGGAGGTGGGGCGGGGGGGTTGATGGGGAGAGGGAGGAAGAAGGCTCGGAAGGACGAGTTTTGTGTCTCGAGCCAGGTGCAACCACTGCTGCCTGAGCCCTTGTGCTAGTGGACATGACGCAAATCTCGCAAAAGAATGAAACTCATCGAAGGGGGTACGTTAGTGTAATCATCGTTGCCGACTTTAATACGTACAACGCTCCCTCGCCTCACCAGGCTCTACAGTTGAAGCTCCTGCGATCCAGACAAACCAGAATGGGGCTGCTTTCCCAGCGTTAGGATCTTGGCATTTGCAGCTCCACTGTCAAACTCTGCTTGTGAAAGAGCAACTGGAAATGCCGCCATGGCTGCCGCACTTTGCGCAATAGAGCGCGCCACGGACGGAAATCAGATCGGACGCAATCGCGCGTGGCACGTCGCCGTGAGATGCATTACTATGCCCGTGCAAATGCCGTAAAGCTATGATCATAAGGAACCGCCGACTGCTGCTGCTGTCGTGAAAGCCGCATCATTGGAACAAAAGGCGATAGTACTACTGAAAAGAACTTACTGCGTACTGGCTGCACCGATACCACTTAAAAGCTACCACGCAACGCAGGCATTTGAGGAAGAAGGGCACGCAGGCAGGCAGGCAGGCAGGCAGGCAGGCAGGCAGGCAGGCAGGCAGCAGCAGCAGCAGCAGCAGCAGCAGCAGCATGGTAATAATGATCATGAGCAACAACGGTCATTACCATGACGCGCCAGGGACGGCAAGTTCCATGCCGAATCTCGGCCTGTGCATTGGCCGTCCTGACAGCGCTGCGGCCACGATACCACCGCCGCCTCACATGAATAGATCATCACCCCCGGCGCTCGCCGCCGCTGCCGCAGCATCCTCAGCTGTAGCCGCAGCAGCTGAAGCAGCAAGCACACAGGCACCAAGAATACCTGCTGCGGCTGCTGCTGGCTTAGCCTTATCGCAAGACAGCGTCGTGGGATTATCCGTGCCTTTATTACCACCGGCAAGACCGCAAGGACTCCGTGCCGCGTACTTCCACGAGGAGCAGGATCAGAAGCCGCAGATTATCCGAGCTATGGGGGGCAACGAGCAGCAGCAGCAGCAGCAACAGCAACAGTGGCAGCAGCAGCAACAGTGGCAGCAGTGGCAGCAGTGGCAGCAGTGGCAGCAGCAGTCGCAGCAACAGCAGCAGCGACAGCGCGCCTCAGGGAATCTTGCACAAAGCAGGGGCCTCGGCGCACTCTTCGCTCCATCCGCTACTGCTACTACCGCTCCAAACTCGCCGCCCTCTCCGCAGCCCTTCAGACACCCTCTCGCTGCCTCGTCCTCCCCTGCCGCACGCTCCTCCGCTCAAGGCGGCACAGCCGGGTTCTCCATCACGCCGGTTGAACCTTCACCGGCTCCCACCGCCCCTGGTTCACCCCTCCACCGGGAGGGGGAGGCAGAAGGGGGAGGAGGAGATGAAGGTGGTGTGGGGATCGGTGTGGGTCGATGGAGAGCGTCAGAAACGAGCTTTGGAGGCCCTGCGAGTACTACAGTGGCTGGATTCCCCCCCATCCATTCTGATCAGCAGGCTGCTACGGCTGCACCTGCCGCAGGGGCCGCACCGTGGCTAGCCAGCCCTGCACTGAGCAATCTTCTCAAGAGAGAAACCCCGGAGTCTGCACCTCGCGCTGCTCGCGCTGCTGCTACTGCTGCTGCTACCACGAACCACCCCCCATCGAGCCCAACCACTGCGTCTAGCCTCTCACCGGCTCTTACACCGTCCTTTCCGCCGGTTCTTCACCCGCCTCATTCCCCTTCTCCGTTTCATCCCTTTGGGTTTCCCACTCCACATCTTCCTGCTGCCCAACACTCCCCGGCCCCCGCCCCGGCCGGTGCCCTCTCTCCTCCATCTCACAGTCATGGAAACACATCAGCAACATCATCATCGTCCGCGGTAGCGGCCGCCGCAGCAGCTATTCTTGCAGCCGCGGGGGTTTCGATGCCAAATCCTGGTGCTGCTTCTTCTTCTGCTGCTGCTGTTGCTGCTGCTGCTGCTGCTGCTGCTGCTGCTGCTTCTGCTGCTCCTCCTCCTGGAGTGGGGGGTTCAGCAGCTACACCATCGGCCATCACTCCCATCTTGCCTTCCATCCACGCATCCGCGACAACCCAGCAGCACCGGATGCAAACGAACCAGAACCTACTAGCACCGCACTCACAGCCCTTCTCCCAGGAGCAATATCAGCTCCACGCCCTTCTCAGCCTTGCCGCTGCTGGCCTCATTCCCTCTTCCACTGCTGCATCATTAGCCCAACACCCCGCACCCCCACCTGCACCATACACTCGCACAGCCTCTCATCCTGCGCCTTTCGGGGCCATGTCTCCTACGACGAGCACGGCTCCTGCGTTTGGTCCCCCTGCTTCTGCTCCTCAGTCGTTCCCTCATACTCTCCTCTCTTCTCCAGCTGCTTTCTTCCACCCTGGAGCCAGCACGGCAGGAAACGCTACCTTCAGCCCTGCAGGGAACACACCGCCAGCGTCCAATCTCGTGGCTGCTGTTGCTGCCGTTGCCGCCGCAATTGCTGCGGCTGGGGGCAATTCGGGGCACGTTCGTGCGCCTGTTGCTGGTTCCAGCGGCGCTGCTTTCAACCCTGGTGCTCCGAATCCGAACACAGGTGGTGGTGGCATAGGCAGTGGTGCAGGTGATGGGGCTAGGGATCCAATCAGGCAGCTGCTGTTCCCCTCAGGGGTCACCCATGCACCTGAGGGTATTGTTCGGATGCTGCAGCAGCAGCAGCAGCAGCAGCAGCAGCAGCAGCAGCAGCAGCAGCAAAGGCAGCAACTGGAGCAACAACAACAACAGCATCCGCAGTACCAGCTTCAGCAGCAGGTTGGGAGCAGCAGCGAGCAACAGCAGCACGGCCCAACGCACACATGGGAGCACGGCCTAGAGAGGTGGCGGGCAACCGCGGAGAAACGAGAAACAAGCGCACGGGAAGGAGAGAAACGAGCCTCCAGCAATCAAGCGGAGGAGAACGCATGGAGGGATAGTGAAGACGGGAGGATCGGGAGGAAACGGGTGCGGAACAGAAGCGGGCAGGAAGGGCAGCAGCGCGGCGCAGGCAGCGCTATGGGTAGTTTCGGCAGTGGCAGTGGCGGCACCATGGGCAGTGGCAGCTACGACCTCACACCAGCAAAGCAGGAACCCTTATGCAGTGCTGCTGGCGGTGGTGATGCTAGCGGGGGTGCTGCTGCTGGTGGTGCTGCTGCTGCTGGTGGTTGTGGCAGTGGTAGTAGAGAGGGCGAAAGGCGAACATGGTGTGGGACGGAAATACCAGATGCTCGGTTCATTAGAAGTCCTGCCCGGGGGGGACGCACCAGGAGAAGGTTTGTTCCTGCTCCTCTTGGGTCTGACGCTGGAGCTGGTCCTCCTGGCAATACGCTTGCTGCTGCTGCTGCTGCTGATGCCGCTGCTGCTGGTGCCGCTGCCGGTGCTGCTGCTGATGTGGAAGGTGTGGATGAGGATACTGATGATGATATCGATGGGGACGGAGGAGGAGGGGGTGCGTCTGGGGGCCATGCGGCACAGCAACAGGAGTGGAGTGTGAGTCTCGTCTCGTCTCTCCCCCTCGCTCTCTCTCACAGACACACTCACTTTCATCCCTCTCCTCTTCTCCCTACCATCTTGCCTTGACCATTGTAACCAGAGACTTAATCCTCTTGCCTTGCACAAACCCTCCTCTTCTGCATCAGCTGCGCCAGCCTCCCCCTTCCCCTTCCTGCCGTATCCCCCTCCCCTGCATCTCCGCGCATCTCACCTTTCCCCCATGGCCCCCCACAACCCCCCCAGCCCCAGGACGCGGCAGAGGGAGAGGAGGGCAGTGAGTGGTGTTTTGAGTCGAATCAAATCACGACTCATTCCGCGCATCTCACCTTTCCCCCATGGCCCCAACCCAATAACCCCCCCAGCCCCAGGACGTGGCGGAGGGAGAGGAGGGCAGCGAGTGGGCCATGCAGACGCGCGGGGGTGGGGCGCACTCCACCCGCCCGCGCAGCGTGGCGGAGCGGAACAGACGCAGCAAGATCAGGTGCGGAGGGGGAAGGGAGGGTTTGCGGCAGGGGAAGGGAGTGAGGAGAGCGTGGGATAACTTTTTGCTGACAGGGAGGGGAGTGGGGAACGCAGGACGGAGAAACGGGGGTGGAGAGGGGAAGGAGGGTCGGTCGGGGAAAGGGGAATGGGGTTGTCGGGTTGGAGGATTGGGGTTGAGGGGAGGGAGGTAGGAGGGGGTATGGGAGGGGGGTAACAGAGGCCTTTTCATGGAGAGGGTTCAATGCTGCTTTGGGCCGTTATGATACCACCACCATCAATGCGGCGAACATCTGATTTAGGCACCAGACACTAATTCAGGCACCAGACATCAATAGAGGCACCAGAGAATGACTCAGGCATGGCACATTGCTTCAGGCACCAGTCATTGATTCAGGCACCACACATTGATCCAGGCACCACACATTGATCCAGGCACCAGACATTGATCCAGGTTCCAGACAGAAACCTCCAAACGGTATTCCGGGCATCACACATCATTCATTCATTTCAGCCAACAACCACACTTTCATGCACTCTGTTCCCATCTCCTGATCCAAAGCTTGGCTTGGCTTCCTCCTTCCCCCGCGTCCACCCGCCCGCAGTTCCCGCCTGGACCGCCTAAAGGAGTCGCTCCCCATCTGGAATCCGCGCATGGACACGGCGACGATGCTAGACGAGGCTGTCAACTTCATCGCGCTGCTGAAGAAGGAGGTTCGTCGACTACACGTGGAGCGCGACGAGCTCGCCAGCCGCCTCCCCCCCGACGCCAAACCGCCGGGTGCGAAAGTCGCCGCCGCGGACGACAAGCTAGTAGAAGCGGATGCGACGAAAGGGAAACGGAAATTGGATGAAGATAGTAGCGGGGCTCGCTGAGACGCGTATACACGTGGCTGACCCTGGACAGCGTGCATACGACAAGGCTGAGGCGGATGACGCGACGCACGGGAAACCGGAAACCGGATGCGGATAGCGCGGCGCATTGAGGCGCGTATAGACTGGTTGCTGTGGTGTTCGGACGCCAAGCCGCGGCCGAAAGTCGCCGACGCGGACGACAAGCCCGAGGCGGGTGATGCGACGCACGGGAAGGACCAACGGGGTGCCGACAGCAGGGCTCGTTGATGCGTGGAGTGACTGCTGTGGTGGTGTACCGTAAGTACGGGATATCGGAAGACGAAGTGGACACGATGTGTATGGCGGAAGTGCGGAAGAGCGTACCATAGCACGCTTCATCAGAAGATCGTGACGTGACCCAAGTGTAGCATCTCTGTATACGGAACAAATATTGAAGTGTACTGGCAACTGCATTTTACTTGAGGCCGTGTGCAGGGATATGCTCTCACTGAATCTCAAAGATATGCTCTCAAAGAATAAAGCATGCAAGTTGCAACACTGGAGCCATCAGTCTGGAAAAGATGTACTAGCATGCTGACTGGAAGGAAAGGGGATCACTAGGTGTCACCACATCTGCATTTGCTGCTGAACCTTGTTTGTTAGACAATCACTACGGTTGTGTTTGTGCAACCTATGTGGCCCGCTCTTCATATGGTGCAGTACCAGTTGCTGATTGAATGCGGTATTTTGGCTAAGAAGCATAACGGTGACGCATTGTGGCAGCAGAGGAGAATTGAACATTAGCACATGCACAAGCAAATAATGTGTGTCACCTAAGTGGTGTGACAAAAATAGGGGTACTGTACTGTACTGTACGTATACTGCTGATCAGAAGCCATCCTGATCCACGTCAAGGGCGAACTCGCCTATCTTGACTTCAAAAGCAGCTGATGTAGCAACGTCCACCATCTCAAACTCGCCTTCCTGCACGCAAGCAAGCAAGCACGCAAGCAACGCCACAGATTGCAGAACAAGTCAGCCAGCCACATACAGCGTACAGCACACCAAGTGAACTTTGTCTATTTCACCATGAGACAGAGACCATGAGACAGAGAGAGACAGTGCATGGGTGTGCACTGTGCAGAATAAGTTAACCCCGTACATCCACAATGAATTGCAAAACAAGTCAGCTAAGCCACATACAGCATAATCAGCACACCAAGTGAACTATGCCCATTCCACCACGAGACAGAGAGAGACAGTGCATGGGTGTGCACTGTGCAGAATAAGTTAACCCCGTACATCCACAATGAATTGCAAAACAAGTCAGCTAAGCCACATACAGCATAATCAGCACACCAAGTGAACTATGCCCATTCCACCATGAGACAGAGAGAGACAGTGCATGGGTGTGCACTGTGCAGAATAAGTTAACCCCGTACATCCACAATGAATTGCAAAACAAGTCAGCTAAGCCACATACAGCATAATCAGCACACCAAGTGAACTATGCCCATTCCACCATGAGACAGAGAGAGACAGTGCATGGGTGTGCAGTACAAGTTAACCGCATACAGCGTAATCAGCATGCCGATTTCACCATGAGACAGAGAGAGACAGTGCCTGTGCATGGGTGTGTGAAAACAGACCCTGTGACTTGTTATGAAATGGTGAAGGGAAACGGTCTAGCAGAATATGGAACCCGGGCAAGCAGAGAGGAGCATCGGCAGCGCAAGTGGAGGCAGCAGGGATAGGCAGCAGCGGCGGTGGTGGTGGCGGCGGCGGCGGCGGCGGCGGCGGCAGCGGCGGCGGTGGTGGTCATGATACTGACCATGGCTCCGTTGCGAGTGTCTAAAGGGCAGACAGACGTGTACTCGAATGATGCCCCTGGTGGCAGCACTGGCTGCTGCCCCACCACTCCAGGGCCCCTGTTGTTACGCCACGAGGAGAGCAGGGGGCAGTTGGACGGAGGGCAGGGGAGGGGAGGTGGAAGGAGAAGGGAGGAGAGAAAAGAGAGGAGAGGAGCGCAGAGTGAAGCAGAGATGGGAACGGCTTGAGGAAAACAGAAGGTAGGGAAGTTAAAGGAGGAGCAGGGGCGTTTGCGTACGGAATGTGGAGAGATGGGGGATAACAAACAGGGCAATGAGAGTTAATAAAAACATCACTTTGCCAACTCAAAAACTGCTGGGAGACAGGATCTTACATGACCTATTCCCAACTACCAAGTCGAATCCCAGTCCAATGCCGTCGAGAACGGTCACATGACATACACCTGCCTTATTACACCAGGTGTGTTGGCACCTGGGGTGTTGCCCCCTCGCGTCTTGCCACCTGATGTGCCATTCTGTCACCGTTCTGAACACGTGATTCTCGTGATCCTTTGCCCGTGCTCGCGCCCATCTGAAACCTCCACACGTCCATTCCACTCACGCCCATCTGAACTCCCTACACGCCCTAAGGGGTGAGTGGGGAGAAGATGAGGGGTGTGAGTGGCACGAAGGTGAGGGGATCGGGGGGAAAATGCGGGGTAAGTGGGGGGAGGTGGGGGGAAGTGGAGGTGGAATGAGAGATGCGCGAGAAAGGAGAAGAGGGGAGAGGGGGGGAGAAGAGGGGCGAGTGAGAGGGTGATGAGGGGTGATCAGGAAGGAGAAAGAAGGGGAAAGAGCAGGGGAAATTGAGGGAAGATAAGGGGGGGAGATGAGATTAGAACGGGGGGGGGAACGATTGGAATGAGGGGAGAGCGGAGAGAAAGGGATGAGGCGAGAGCGGGGGAAAATAAGGAGAGAGCGGGACAAGATGAGGGATGTCCTTCGGTCCCCCCCTCCCCCCTCCTCTTCTCCCACCCTCCCCCCCCCTCCCCCTCTCGACCCCCCCACTTTCCCGTATTCCGTCCCTTTCCCGCATTCCCTTCCTTTCCCGCGACACACCCACGTCTCTTACCTTTCTCCTTCCCTTTCTTCTAACGTTTCAGGTGGTAACAACATCAGCCATCATCCATGCTGAGGCTCCTCCGCTTAATCACCTGCTTAACGAAATCGGGTAGGCGGTATTGGCGATACTAATGGGCGCGAACCGAACCTTTGATGCCACGCATGGGAAGTGCCTGCAAATCGATGGTGTTGATGTGTTCGGAACTCAGCATTCGTTATTCGTCCGCAAATGAACGGTACCACTCCAGCCCCAATGCATAAGAAAATCGATGTTGTAACGACTACTGGCGACTAAACAAACATCTGATGCCCGCAACTGGCGGTGACTACTTGGAGCTGACGGTACTTACCTCACTAAGTCAAGTGACTAAGAGTAAATTACGACTGATAAACGCATAAGCGCGACTAACACTACGGTGCAAAAACTAGTGCTTAGATCTAAGAACCTATGCGTGATGAACCAAGAGGCGACGGTAACGCGCTTAGATCTAAGAGACTGGTAACCAAGAAAGTGACACGGGAAGGACGATGACGATGAGAGAAGAATATGGCGGAACTAAAGAAGGGTGGGAGGGGAGGGTGGTGGTTGATGTGGCGTGGTGGTTGCGCCTCCCTTGATTCCTATTGGCTCTCGTGATTTTCCCTCAACTACCCCTCGCTATTTCAGCTGCCCCAATCTGGTTCAGAGTCAGGAAGGGGAGTTGCGAGAGCAGCTAAACCTCGCGAGACTTCAGCCGAATATATATTTTTGCCCATTTCAACACCATCCCGGAGCTCACGCAACCCTCACCAAATAACTCAACCTACAGGAAGTGCCACGTCAGTCTCCTCCTAAAAATTGTACTGTATCTTCCTGCCCCACCTCTTAGCCCAACAATACCCTTTCACAAACAGTACGCACCTTGAGATGATTCGTTTGCCTCAAGACAACCAAACCCAAACGAATAACCAGGCTCTCAACTCTACACATTACGTTTTTGAAACTGAAAGTTTCTAGATGTTATGCAAGTCTGCTTGTACTGTACACATTCGGCCACTTTTCACAATTCCAAACCGCGATTCACAGCTCCATTACAGCCTGAACGAATCCCCACCGTTGGCGGCGGCAACAGTTCTTCATTCCCATCATCCATTCAAATTGTGTCCTGCAACCCAACTGATGCAGGTTTTTCCCGCACTCCACAGACCACAAAAGCAGCCGCGCCGTGTCGCATCCCTCTGCACCCAGCAACTCATCACATTCCATTTGAAAACGCGCTGCGGGAGGCGGCAAGCGCCAAACACAGAATCAAGGCGGCTGGTCGGCTTACTCCTTCCTCTAGCAGACGCATCTTCTCTGCTCTGCTCTCAGCTCATTCTTTCCTCTCATTCCTTCCACCGAAACCTGGTATAGTCCCACGGCTGAGTTCATTTTTGCATTTTTTTTCCTTCACGATCTCATTGAAGGAATGTTCAGAGAAGCTCTTTCCTAACGAGCTCTCTAGTACGGACTTCAAGCTACTTGCTCCACGGAGCAGTCCGTGTTACATGAAGCCACCCGGCTAGTACAAGGGGAAACACCAAGCATGCAGCAGCGCTGAGGTAGCGTAGAGTAGTATAGAGAGTCGTGGGTGGGATGGGTTGGGTAGTATAGAGAGTCTAGCGAGCTGCTTGCGTGCCTTGGTCGGAACCTTGTACGACGCCCTGGGTTGGTTGGTTGTCGCGGCAACACCTTCACCGCGATAACCTTCTCGTGAACTCGTCACATCAAGATTCTCAGTACGCGGCGAGATATTCAGTACGCGGAGAGATCTTCCGTACGCGACTTCAGTACGCGACGAGAATGCACGAAGAAGAAATCTTCACGGGGAGAAGCCAAAGCTCAAACAGAGCCCAACGAACGGAGCGCCATCCAGCTACGTCAAGGCCGATGGCGTTTCTCCCCGTCCTCGCCGTTGTGGCGCGTCAGCTCTTCACGTCCTTACGCCAAAATAAAGCGCGTCAGCTCTTCACGTCCTTACGCCAAAATAAAGCGCGTCAGCTCTTTGAACTTTTTCTGTTTCCAGACTTCGTTATTATCTGAATAAGTTTTTCATTTACACTTCTTCTGCTTCGAAGCTTTTATATTCTTCTGGATAAAAATTTTGCTAACGCCTTTTTTTATGCCTTCCCTGCAGGCAACCATATTGCCGCTCTGAGAGCCCAACGACCTGAGAGCCGCCAACCATCTGGAGGATTCCAAGTCCAACTGAAGCCAAGTCAAGTCAAGACACAAGAGCCACCTGAACGTCGATGGAAGCGTGACCAATGGACGGATCGATGGAAGCGCTTCAATCCAAGCCTTCTCCTCACCGTCGACCCTTCAATCCAAGCTTTCACTCACCGGCGGCGGTGAATCTACCCGTCGGCGGTGGCGCATGCCGCCTCTCGGCTCTCGGCGTCGCATGGAGCTGCTCGCCCGTCGCACGGAATTTCACTTCCCTTCGGCGACGCTTGGTTTTTCCTTCAAGCGTCACCACAACGAAGGCAAGTGCGGTTCCGTTTCCAAGCTCTCTAACTACCTTCACAAGTTTTTTTAAATTATATGCTAACGAGTTTGTCTTTTCCTGCAGATTCGGGGTGAATACATCCGAGCGAGTGGCTCATTTATCGTCGCAAGCGGCAAACCATCTTCATTCAACGACGAGAGGCGCTTCTCCTGCGGTGGCCGTATCCTTCGCATGGCAATTCTCCCGTCGCTGATGGCGCATGCCGGCTCTCGGCTCTCGGCGTCGCATGGCGCTGCTCGCCCGTCGCACGGATCTTCACTTCCCGTCAACGTCGCCTGGCCGTCAACGTCACAAACAAGGCAAGTGCGGTTCCGTTTCCAAGCTCTTTAACTACCTTCACAAGTTTCTTCATATATATAAGCCCTAATTCATTTGTCGTCTCCTGCAGATTCGGGGTGATACATCCGAGCGAGCGGCTCTTCCATCTTCGCTCAACGAAGATAGGCGGCGATATCACACGGATGACATCACTCATCACTCTTTCCGTCGCATGGCGATTCGTCCGTCGCTGGTGGCGCATGCCGGCTCTCGGAACTTCACTTTCCGCTTGTCGACGCTTTGGCGATTTTTTTCAGCCGCAAAACGCTGAAGGTAATTGTGATTTGAATTTCGTCTTGCTCGTGAACCACCTTTTCATTTTTTTTAAAAGCCCTGACTTGTTCGTCGTTTCCTGCAGACTTCCTGCAAGTCAAGCCCACCACTGACTGCGCACGGGTCTTCACTGGGTGCGATTCCCGTGGCGCGAAAGTTCACTTGCCGCTTGCCGATGCCTGGACTGTCTTCACGCCGTTGGTGACGGTTTCTTTCAAGCCTCACCACGATGAAGGTAAGTGCAGTCTCGTTTTCAAGTTCTTGGACTATACTAGTTCTTACTTCCTTTTATGAAAGCACTAACTGATTCGTCGTCTCGTGCAGATCCGCTTCGCGACATGGAGACATGGAGACATGGCCGAGAGTGGCGCTTCTCTCATCAGACGGCGTCGCTTTGGCGCGAACGCGCTTCTATCATCGCAAGCGTCGCTTGCATCGTCGCGAGGGGATTTTAAGGCTTGGTTCTTCCATCGTCGCGAGTGTCGCTTCCATCGTCGCATGGCGTTAGGCGACGGCGCGTACCGCTGATGACGGTTCTACCGTCGCTAGTGGCGCTTCGATTGCCGGATGGTAAGAACGCACCACCAGCAGTTTCGATGTTATTTTCAAAAGGTTATTCGTCCTTTTTCAACGGTTCAGCTAACAGTTTTCCTTGTTCCCTGCAGATGGTTAGGAGACCCGTCGATGGCACTTCTCCCGTCGCGCGGCGTCGCTTCGTCCGGGGCATGGCGACGAGTCTCCCGTCGCACGGCGTCGCTTTGTCGGGAGCATGGCGACTCTTCACGCGTCGCGCGGCGCTTCGCACCGCGCTGGCGACGCCTGTCAGATTCGTCGTCGTTTTTCGTTTTGTCATCTTCCGTTTGTCGTCTTCCGTCTCGTTATCTTTCATCGGCCTTTCTCACTCGTGGCATGTCGTGGTCGATGCGCAGCCCCCAGGAATGAAGGGTTAGAAGAAGGCCAAGATGACCAAGTCTACAACCACGACGACCAAGACTCCGTACAGGACGTCCACGACTCCGTCCAAGACGTCCAAGACTCCGTCCAAGACGTCCAAGACTCCGTCCAAGACTCCGTCCAAGATGACCAAGTCTTCGACCAAGACGCTTAAGACTCCGTCCAAGACGTCCAAGACTCCGTCCAAGACGTCCAAGACTCCGTCCAAGACGTCCAAGACTCCGTCCAAGATGACCAAGTCTTCGACCAAGACGCTTAAGACTCCGTCCAAGACGTCCAAGACTCCGTCCAAGACGTCCAAGACTCCGTCCAAGACGTCCAAGACTCCGTCCAAGACGTCCAAGACTCCGTCCAAGACGTCCAAGACGTCCAAGACTCCGTCCAAGATGACCAAGTCTTCGACCAAAACGCTTAAGTCTCCGTCCAAGACGTCCAAGACTCCGTCCAAGACGTCCAAGACTCCGTTTAAGACGTCCAAGACTCCGTCCAAGACGTCCAAGACTCCGTCCAAGACGTCCAAGACTCCGTCCAAGAAGTCCAAGACTCCGTCCAAGACGTCCAAGACTCCGTCCAAGACGTCCAAGACTCCGTCAAAGACGTCCAAGACTCCGTCCAGGACGTCCAAGACTCCGTCCAAGATGACCAAGTCTTTGACCAAGACGTCCAAGTCTTCGACCAAGACTCCGTCCACGACTCCGTCCAAGATTTCGTCTTCGTCAACGTCAACGTCCAAGAATACGACCAACAACAACTTCCCTGGTGAGCTCGTCCTTTCAGTTTTCCTTTTCCTTTTTCATCACTTTACTAACTTTCTCTTGTTTTTTCCTTTGTTTGTGTAGTGGCAGGAGCGCGGAGGGAGCGGAAGCGGGAGGAAGAACAACACCCTTCCTAGGTAAGCTCGTCGTTTCAGCTGGATTCGTTTTCTCCTTCGCATGTACTTACTTTCTCTTGTTTTTTCCTTCGTTTGTGTAGTGGCAGGAGCGCGGAGGGAGCGGAAGCGGGAGGAAGAACAGCACTTATCGAGGTAAGCTCGTCGTTTCAGTTAGTCTCGTCGTTTTTTCTTCACATTGTCTAACTTCCTCTTGTTTTTCCTTGGTTTGTGAAGCAGGAGCTCGTGGGAGCCGAAGAGGGATCGGAAGCGGGAGCACGAGCGGGAGCTTCTATCAGGTGATATCGTCCATTCAGCTTTTGTGTTTGGTTTCGAATTTACTGACGTCTCTTTTGGTGTCTTTGTTCAGGGCGAAATGACGCGCATTGGCGGGAATCGCGTTTTTCTTAATTGCTTCGACCCAAATTATCGCGACCACGCCACGTCGTCGTTTCTCTAAATTGGATGGACCGGGCTTGCGCGTGCCCTTTCCGCTGTATTTTCCCGCCCTTACCCTCCGAATTTAGGGCATGGGAAGCGGAGATTTGAGAGGGGTTTGAAGGGATTTCCGCGCCTTGTCGGTCTGCCACATGCTGCTGAGCTCGCAGCAGTTGCACCGCGTGATGTACCTGTTGGGGGGGGTGTGGAAGTGGAGGGAACAAGGAAGGAGAGGATGAGAAGTGGGGAACTTGCGGGCCTTGTCGCTTTGCCACAAGCTGTTGAGATTGCAGTGCGTGATGTACCTGTTGGGGGGGGTGTGGAAGTGGAGGGAACAAGGAAGGAGAGGATGAGAAGTGGGGAACTTGCGGGCCTTGTCGCTTTGCCACAAGCTGTTGAGATTGCAGTGCGTGATGTACCTGTTGGGGGGGGTGTGGAAGTGGAGGGAACAAGGAAGTCGAGGAAAAGGTGCGTGGGCAGGAACAAAAAGGCAGCTATTAAAGTTTAGAGTTAAGGGCTGTGAAATGCAACAAAAAAAAACAACAACAACAACAAAAACAGCAACAACAACAACTTACCAGTTGACGAGCTCGTAGCAGAGGATGAGGAGCGTGGGGAGGAAGACGAGAGCAAAGGAGAAGGCAAAGAGGACGTTGGCCCCGGTGGTGATGCCAATGTAGTTAAAGCCCGTGAGCGCCACCGTGAACAGCAGCTCTCACCAGCTGATCTGGTGAAAGCTTGCCGCAGAGAATAAGGAGCATGGGCAGGAATGGAAGGGCAAACGATGTAATTTTCATATATACATATATATATATATATATATATTTTGGTAAAAGAAGGAAGACCGTACCAGTTGACGAGCTCGTAGCAGAGGATGAGGAGCGTGGGGAGGAAGACGAGAGCAAAGGAGAAGGCAAAGAGGACGTTGGCCCCGGTGATGATGCCAATGTAGTTAAAGCCCGTGAGCGCCACCGTGAAGAGCAGCTCTGCGAGTGCGAGCAGCGAGTTGAGCACGTCGTAGAAGGCTGCGAAGGGGGATGCGCCGTACTGTAGGCCGATGCAAATGGCTTGCAGGGTCAGGGTCACTGATACCTGAATTGGGGGGAGGAGGGGAGGGGAGGGGAGGGGTGGGGAGGGGAGGGGGGTGGATCAGGCAAAAGGACTGAGGAAGAGGAGAGCGGGATGTCCCGTTCCGCAGGGTGGCTGTTTGGCTATTCTTGAGGGGCCTCAGAAGTTAAGTTAAAGCCCGTGAGCGCCACCGTGAAGAGCAGCTCCGCGAGTGCGGGCAGCGAGTTGAGCACGTCGTGCGAGAAGGTTGCGAAGGGGGATGCTCCATATTGTAGGCCGATGCGAATGGCCTGGAGAGGGAGGGTCACTGATACCTGATTGGGGGAGGGAATGGCAAGATGGAAAAGGAAGGAGGCGGGAAGGGAAGGGCAGCGAGCAGCGAGTTGAGCACGTCGTGCGAGAAGGCTGCAAAGGGGGATGCGCCGTACTGCAGGCCGATGCGAATGGCTTGCAGAGGGAGAGTCACTGATACCTGATGAGGTGGGGGGAGATAGTGGGGGAGCAAGTGAGGAAGGGGGGGGGGGGGGGAAGAGGAGAGTGTTGGCGGAGTGGGGAAGTGGAATCTTCGAACTGTGTCACTACTGCAATGAAGTAGAGAAGAGTTGTTATGCCCACCTGCGTCACTACACGCGTGCATACCTGCGTCTGGGGTGACTGCACGCCAAAGACGGTGATGGAGACGAGGATGATGCGACGGGCATAGCAGGTGAGGTGCCACCAGAAGTAGTCGTACTCGTACCTGTGCCATGCCATGCCATGCCATGCCATGCCATGCCATGCCATGCAATGCAATGCAATGCAACGCAATGCAATGCACCACACATCACATGCCATGCCATGCCATGCCATGCCATGCAATGCAATGCAATGCAATGCAATGCAATGCAATGCACCACACATCACATGCCATGCCATGCCATGCACCACACCCGTGCAGGAGGGTAGGAAAACACAAATCACATGCCATGAGGTGCCATGCACCATGCAATGCAGCTCACACGTGAGGGGAACGTAGTGCATGCCTGCAATGCTATGCAACACCCATCATGTGTCACTCACCGGCTGACCATCCACCCCCATCGCATCTTGTACGTATGACTCGCCAGCAAGCCTTTCAACTTCCCCAGCCACAGCACCAGCGCATAGCACACCGGCGCACCCGCCACATACACCACCGCAATCACCACCGACAGCGCAAACACCACCGTATGCGTCTCCGAAAACCACCCGATGTACGGCGCAGCACCCATCACGTCCGCGCCGTACCAGTGCCGGTAGACGCCTGGAAACACCGGAAGGTTACAGCTGCGTAGCTCAGATCGAGCCAGTTGGTCACCCCGTGGATCAGAGTGTTCTCGTACTTGTCAAACATCTCGCGCTTTGTCGTCACGTGCCCGCCCAAGTCGTCTGCCCGAGAGCCGATGCCGCTTGGAGCTCGCGAGAAACTGGTGCCGTTGGTATCGGTGCGGAGAGAGGGAGCAGACGCAGCAGCAGAAGCAGCAGCAGCAGCGGAGGCGGCGGCCGAAGGGGTGAAGCTGGTGGTGCTGGTGATGGGGTGGTTCTTGGGGGTGCCGTAGATTCGGGTGATGGTGTGGGAGTAGAGGCGGTGTGTGAGGTAGAGGCATGCGTAAACGAGGACGCCTAAAACGGGGATGACCATGGTGACTGCCCACTGCTGCACGAATGAGTAGGTGACTGTGCAGCCTGGCCCGATCACGTCCTGTGGATTGGAGGGGAATATGGGCAGATGGATGAGGTGAGAAGTGATCATGGGAACGGAGTTTGGTGTGGTTATGGGGATGACCATCGTGACTGCCCACTGCTGCACAAAGGAGTACAAAGGAGTACAACCTGCCCATTATGACTGTGCAGCCTGGCCCAATGATGCCCTGAGGATGGGGGAAGGGATGAGCCATACAACGACAACACATGGGTCGAGAGCGGTGCTTACCGGTACGAAGAGCGCGATCTGGAAGTACTGAATAATGGTGTTCACCCAGGAGGGCAGCGGGAGGTTGTACGACCCGATAAACGTCAGCATCTGCAGCTCTATAGCGAGTATAGCAATGGTGTGAAATGAGTCCGACAAAATCCCCATGGCCACCCAGGCGAGCACGATGAGCAGAAGCAGCAGCGGGAAGAGGCGCTGGAAGGTGGGCGCGCACTGGTAGCAGAACTTGAGCACTGAGTAGTATCCGGGGGAGCAGCTAGAGCAGAGCCGATTCTCGTTGTATCCCACCTTGCACTGCTGCTGGTCCAGAGTGGAATTTGCTGCCGCCTGCTGCTGCTGCTGCTGCTGCGTTTGGGTGGTATTTACAGTGGGAGCGGTGGGAAAAGAGGAGGAGGAGGAGGAGGAGGAGGAGGGGTAGACCAAGCCTGCGCATCCATCTAACACGTCGCAGGCATACACAGCAGGGATGCCAGAGCTGATACTGTTGAAGTCAAACCAGAACCCCTCCTCTACTGTCATATTCCCTTGCTCGCACGTCACCGCTAGCGTGTCTTTAAGAACGTCGCGGTTCATCGGGCAGGGTAAACAATCGGTGAGGGATGCTGTGCCCGGGAAAAAACTAAAGCTGCCCGGCGGGCAGAACTCCGCGCCCCGCCCTGACCCGCACCAGCTCCCGATTGGGCAGACCTCGCAGGTCATCCCCGGGCGGGTGTAAAACTGCCCGGGCGGGCAGAAGACGATCTCAACCGTCCGTGCGATCGGCGGAAACGCATCCAACGACGAGGAGACCGACAGCGTAAGCGAGAGATTCCCGGATTCGGGTGGTTCGACGATGGAAACGGGGGGGATGGTGGCGCGGCCGTTGACTGCTATGGCCTGTAGGAGGCCGCTGATGGAAGGAGTGGGGAGGACGGAGGCCTTGGCTCGGAAGTCGTTGACTGGGATGAGGCCTGCTGCGTCCAGCACCGTGACGTGCAGCCCTGTCACTGGGTTGGCCCTGTCTCCCTTCACCTGGAATGGCGTGGTGCTTCCAGCTGCGTCGTTCTGCCCTGACCACCTGTGGGGAGGGGATCAGCAGAACAGGGGGGTGGAGGAGGCATGAGAAAGGGGAGACGGGGAGTGAGCGGGATGGAGAGAGGGAGTGGGGAGGATGGAGGCTTTGGCGCGGAAGTCGTTGACTGGGATGAGGCCTGCTGCGTCCAGCACCGTGACGTGCAGCCCTGTCACTGGGTTGGCCCGATCGCCCTTCACCTGGAATGTTGTTGTTGAGCCTGCAGGTGAGTCGTTCTGGCCTGACCACCTGTGGGTAAGGGGAAGGTGGCGGGGAACAGGGAAGGGGGAGAGAGGGGTTGAATGAGAAGGGGGGGGACGAGGGGGCTCCATGAAGCACAGAAACATGCAGCCCTGTCACTGGATTGGCGCGATCGCCCTTCACCTGCTGAATGGGCTGGTGCTTCCAGCGTGTGTTTTTTGAGAATTCTCAAAGAACACATAATGGGCTTGTGCTTCCAGCTGAGTCACTCCGCCCTGACCACCTGGGGGGAGAGGGGGGGTAGAGGGGGAGGGGAGAGGGTTTGGGCTGGTAACAAAGGAGGGGGGAAGAGCGGTTGAATGGGACGGGGAAGAAACAGGGAGGTTGAGTGCGGTTCAGTGAGGGTGAGCAGGGGTGTGAGGATGACTGAGACTCACTGGAGGCGGAAGGAGGAAGGGAGGGTGCCGATGGTGTCCTGCTTGTCTTTGCTCTCACACCCCACACACGTCGACCGCATGGCAGGCAGGAACGTCGCGTCAAGAAACGCCGACCCAAGCCCGCCCGCCGCCATCGCAATCCCCCCTGCCCCTCCCCCTCCTGCACCCACCCCACTTCCCCTTCCCCCAGCACCACTGCCACCACCAGCACCACTAGCACTGCCACCGCTGGCAAGAGCCGGGATGCTGCCGTTACCAGTGACTCTGTTGCGGTAGAACGACAGACCAGACACGTTCAGAGGCAGCAGCCCGCCACTCACACTCACACCCCCATCACTGCTGCCGCTGCCGCTGCTGCCGCTGGCACTGCTGTTGGTGTTGGTGTTACCATTACCGTTGGCGCTAGCTGCACCAGCAGTGGCATTGCCAGCAACACCAAGGTTACTTCCCGCCTGCAGCAACCATGCAATATCAGACACCATAACCACAGCCCCCACCGCTGCCTTGCTAAACCCCATTCCCCCCGCCCCCCCACTTCCTCCACTTCCCCCTACCCCCCCCGTTCCCCCAGCTCCCCCTCTTTCCTCACCCCCACCCGCTCCTCCTCCCGAACCTCCCCCCATGCCTCCCCGATCCAGGTACACAGCGGATCCGTCCGAGCCTGCCTCGTTGCTTCGGAAAGCGCAATCACGCAGGTCCCCGTGCGCGTAGTCGAGAACTAGGATCGCGCCACCTGTCCCCGTCGCCGCCCGGTTGGACTCGAAGATCGAATCGGAGATCTGCAGGGACGTGTTGCCGGCCACAAAGATTGCCCCGCCTGCTTCTTGTGCCTGGTTGTTTGAAAACAAGGGTGCTTGTGGTGTGGCTGCTGGGTCAGCAGCAGCAGATGCTGTAGCAGAAGCAGCTGTGACTGTAGCACTCTCATCATAACCACCACCACCAGCAGCAGCAGCAGCATTGCCATCAGCAACACCAGCAGCGCCACCAGCAGCAGCATAAGCAGCAGCAACAGCAGCATCATCCACCCGCGAGCTAACACTCAGCGAGCTCTCCGCATCACAGAAAATCGCACCTCCTCTATGCCCCGTATTCCCCTCAAACCCCACTCCACCCCCCACCACCACTACGGTCGAATCCGTGGCAAAAATCGCCCCTCCATCCCCCACGTCCATCGTGCTTCCCCCCGCATTCCCCCGAAAGAGAACCGACCCATAGAACGACCCCACTGCCTGCCCCTGCAGCACCACCGCATGCTGCGAGTTCCCTTCAAACACTGTGGGCGTTTTGCTGCCCACCCGCACAGCGACCAGCAGCCTGACTCCCCCTTCGGCGAGAATGGCCCCGCCGGGTGCGGCAGTGTTGGCACGCAGGGAGGAGGCGAGCAGCGAGAGGCGCGCGTTCTGAATGCAGTAGAGCGCCCCGCCCTGGATGGTGGCTGTGTTGCGTGCGATGACTGACGAGGAGATGTGTACCTGGGATAATAAGTATGTGAGGAGGGTGATGAGAATGGGAGGTGAGAACAGTGGGAGGGGGGGGCTAGCAGCGTGAGGCGCGCGTTCTGAATGCAGTAGAGCGCCCCGCCCTGGATGGTGGCTGTGTTGCGTGCGATGACTGACGAGAAGATGTGTACCTGGGATAATAAGTATGTGAGGAGGGTGATGAGAATGGGAGGTGAGAACAGTGGGAGGGGGGGGCTAGCAGCGTGAGGCGCGCGTTCTGAATGCAGTAGAGCGCCCCGCCCTGGATGGTGGCTGTGTTGCGTGAAATGACAGAGGAGGAGATGTGCACCTGAGGTAAATGGCACGGGAGGTATGCACACAGTGAGACAAGAGATTGAGAGGGGATGTGTGCGTTCTGAATGCAGTAGAGGGCTCCGCCCTGGATGGTGGCGGTGTTGCGGGCGATGACTGATGAGGAGATGTGTACCTGGTGGTGTGCATGGAAAAAGGGGGTCAGCACAGCAGGAGAAGTGTGGACAGCGAGAAAGGCACACAGAGGCACGCGTTCTGAATGCAGTAGAGCGTTCTGCCTTGGAGGGTGGCGGTGTTGCAGGAAATGACTGATGAGGAGATGAACACCTGGTGAGATGGGGGGAGTATGTGAGGGGGAGATGGGCATGGGAGGAGCGGGGAAAGGAGGTGAGGACAGTGGGAAGGAGTGGAGGTGTGTGCGCTTTGAATGCAGTAATAAAAGGGAGTCCGAGATGACCAGCCAGGTTTGCCCCCACCCTCGTTGCACCCCTGGTTGGACGTGTCGTTGCAGGATGTGAGACTGAGAGACCTGCACTGCATTGCACACACCTGGGAGTCCATCTCGGCCCAGAGCATGCCGCCATCCATGGCCGAGTTGTTGAAGAGATGGGAATCCGTGATGGACAAGCGGGTCTCTCCCGTGGCTTGGATGGCGCCGCCCTTGTTGCCGCCCTGGTTGGACGTGACGTTGCTGGATGTGATTGTAACGGAGGCCAGCTCGCTCATGGAGATGCACCCTCCCCCGGATGGCGCGCTGCAAGATAAGAAGAGGAGGGAGAAAGGGAGAGCAAAACAGGGAGGGCGAAAGAAATAGGAAGAGAGAAATTCTTATAAAAACGTCACATCACCTGCTTCTCTCCTCCCAAGCACAGCCCCCCGCCTCACTCAGTGCACAACCTCAGTCTCTCCTCACCTGTTCCCGGTGCACTCAGACCGTGCCATCTCTGTGTTGACTTTGCGTGGAATCACAAACAGATCGCGACTGTTTGTGATTCCACGCAAAGCCATCACAGTTGCCCTAATTCGGAGGGGAAGGGCGGAATACAACGGAAAGGGCACGCGCAAGCGCATTCCATCCAATTTATAGTAACGCCGACGTAGCGTGATCACGATAATTTAGGTCGATGCAATTAAGAATAACGCGATTTTCGCCGATTTTCGTCATTTCGTCCTGCTGCAGGAAATGAGAAGTTGGGAGGAGGGAGACGCGGAGGCGCGGCGAATCGAAGTGTGGCGGACCGATGAACGAGCGGGAAACCTCCTCTTCTTCTGACAACCTGGCGTCTTCGAATTCTGACAACCGAGGAGTGCCGTCCCGAGGTGTTTACATTTCCTTGATTTAACCCTGCCCGCGGGCAGTAAACTAACCTTCCCTCTCCTCTCTCCCAAGAAACCGCCCCTCCTCCCCCCCCCCCACAGGGTCCCGCACGAATGACCTCCACCTCAACGCGGTGTGCGGGTGTAACGCTAGAGGCTTCTGCCTCTAGCGGCCAAGAGGGGTCAAATTCAAGACGAAGTTCGGGCAGCTCAACACTTGAAGCGGTTCAGCAGCACTTGCAGTACACTTGAAGTGGCGGAAAGCTTGGAGTGGCGCAACACTTGAAGTGGCGCAACGCTTGGAGCGGTTCAGCGGTTGAACACTTCAACACTTGAAGAGGCTCTACAGTTGACTCAATACTTGGAGCGGTCAACGCTCGGCCGTACAGACGGAGCAGTTCAACACTTCGAACTAAGTCGAGCGGCTGGCGTTCTGCAGAAGTAGTAGTTGAAGAGTTAGAAACCTAGCTATGCTTTGTGACTTGTACGATATGTACACCCTGGAATAACGGATGCTTTGTTCTCCAATTAGTTCGAACGATTGATCGAGACGCTTGTTTGTCATAATCTTTTCTCAATTTCGTCTATTCAGTCACTGTTACGGTAGATCTAAGCGCTAAGCGCTTTACCGTCGCTTCCTGGTTTTCCTCCGTCGCGACTTCTCGTATCTGAGCGCAACTTAATGCTTAACACCGCAGATGACGTCAGTCGCGGTTATCATCCGTATATTAATCTTCGCCGCTTCAGGTAGTGAACCAAGTACCGCCAGTTGCGTGCTTCAGATGTTTGCACAGTCGCCAGTAGAACGCGTTTTATAAATCCGATGCATTGCGGAACGGCAATTCGCGGGCACAATAGTATCATATGCGGACACAATACTACCATCAATTTGCACCACATTAACTCCATATATCTGTGAGCACATACCATTCGGACGCATTATTAGCCTCGGTTCGTAGGCGCGCGATCAGCGTCGGCAGTGCGACCGGTTCAATGTCCGTTACCAAGCGAAGGCGGTGATTAAGCGAAGGCACATCGTTTTGGGCCTTGAACAAGCAAGGCGGTGACTGTAGGGAAATTTTTAAGGGGTGGAGGGGAGAGTGGGGAGGGAGGGAATGGGGGGGAGGAAAGGGGCGGAAGGGGGGGAGGGGTGGGGGTGGGGGTGGGGGGGGGGGGGGGGGGGGGGGGGGGGGGGGGCGGGGGGCATGTTCAATCTCTCCCCGCTTTTCCCTCGTCCCCACCCGCTCTCCCCTCATCTCTCCCCGCTCCCCTCCATTTTCTCCCGATCTCCTCTCCCCCCCCCCCGCTCTCCACTTATCTCCCCTCCGCTCCCCTTTTTCCCTTCCCCGCCCACCCCTCATCCTCTTCCCCCACCCCCCTCCTCTCTACCCTCATCTTTCCTGCGCTGTTTGGATGAAGGAGGGAAGTGTGTCTCGTGTGGCATGCGCAGGTATGGGATAGCCTGACAGAGGCAAGCAGTGAACGAACAGCCTTCTTTAGACCAAGAAACAAGAGCATGAACAGACCACGACCTTTTGAGCACCATGGTTTGAGCACCGTAGTTCCGAGATTGCAACAGGGGCATAGCAGAGACACAGGCATGGGGGAAGCAGGGAGGGGGAGGAGGGAAGAGTGGGGAGGCAGAGGGAGGAGGCGTGGGAGGAAAAAATACGAGTCTGCAAGCACCAAACTGAATGGAAAGATATAAGCCCTTTTTCAGTGCCAACTCCGTTGAGGGCAAGAAGAAGATTTTCCTGCGGTAAACAGCAGTCTCGTGTGAAGGCAGTTGCTGCAGCAACACCTTTACTCCACCCGTACGTTTGGCAAACCCATGGGGCGCAGACGTTCTGTAGCACCAGACCAGGTACGGCATGGTGCTGTGCAGTTACCAAGCTTTATACGATCATGAGGTCATAATGCTTTTCCAAATCCACTGCCACACAAGCTGTGGCATGGAAGCTATCAAGCTAGAGTATAAAGCAGAGGCTGTGCGGTAACAAGCACACAGCCAGACCACTTAGGAAGCACTACAGCATTCATTTGTATGAAACCACAGGTGCGGATCACAGAGACTAGGTCACTAGGGTATTCTAAGCAGCTACCAAATCGATATTTCTAAAAAAAAAACAGCCTAATGCGATGGGATGGGGACAGGAGGCAACTCAAAGAAAATAATGCATAACATTCAACACAAACGCAGTGCAGTGCAGTGCAGGTGTGGGTGGGGAAGAAGGCGGCTTGAATGTAATCCTCCACCGCTGCTGCACAAGGGCCATTCCCACACCTGAAGGCATCAAGCTCATTCCTGCATCTGAAAATGCACACAGGTGCATCATCCGCACAGTTGCGCGTGCAAGGCTTGTCATCCCCAGAGGTGCGGGTCGGAGGTGTGCAGTTGTGAGAGGTCCACGCCCTTGCCCAGGAGATAGTTGCCCGTGCGCACATACACCTCCTGCACCTGCTCCAACTCCATTGACATCACCTGCGGGGAGACCACATGCAGTGGGTGCAAGCGGGAGAGGCAGGGCGATAAGGGGGAGTGAGTGTGCGCACACGAGGGCACATACACCTGCTGCACCTGCTCCAACTCCATTGACATCACTTGCAGGGGGTTCCCAGGGAAAGAGGAATAGAAAGTAACTTGGGGGTTGCAAGTGGGAGTGGCAGGAGTGAGGCGGGGGGTGGGAGCACATGCACCTGCTGCACCTGTTCCATCTCCATTGACATCACCCAGAGATCAACAACTAAGTGGGCGTGTTTGAGGGGAACCAGTGGTGGGTGCAAGTGGTTGAGGCAGGCAGGAGAGAAGGACAGGGAGGAAGCAGGTGTAAGATCAGGAGAGGGAAGGGAGGCATGAGATGGTTTTTGAGACGTCTCAAAAACACCCTCACTTCACGAGGCGTAAGATCAGGAGAGGGAAGGGAGGCATGAGATGGGAAGACAGGATGCGGGCGAGGGGGTTTACTCAAGAAAGATTGATAGCAGAAGAGGGTGCGCGCACTGGGAGAGCAACACACCTGGGAGAGCAGACTCTCGACAGTGACAGTGTGTGGCGAGATGAAGGACTGGTAGTAGATGAAGGAGAACACTGCCATCACCATCTGAAGAGAGGGGGGGGAGAGGAGAGGACATGGGGGAGAGGGGGATGGGTTGCAAAATTGCTGAATGAAGTCTGGCAGAGCAGTATGCACGGAAGGAACCTGCGTGCGCATGCACTTACACCCACCACTCCATTGCACTACTCAATCCCTCATCCAGCACTAAGAACAAAGTCCAAAGAAATAGAGAGACAAGTACAAACGGACACCGTGCGCACGCACATGCATGTAGACACCTAATCTGCTAATAACTCTCTTGCGGCAGAGAAATGCATGGCATGGCATGGCATGGCATGGCATGGCATGGCACGGCATGGCAGCAGCGACCTCACCTGGCAGTCCATACGGTCCGTGATGCCTCCGTGCCCCGGTATCATCTCCCCGAAGTCCTGGTGGATTCACATGCATACATGCACGCACACATGCACACATGCACACACGCACACATGCACACATGCAGCAACGGACACATGACCGTTAGTGGGGCATGCAGCACTTGTTGTAAGGCCGATGGTTGGCAAGTCAGTGGATGCATGTGAAAGGAGCAGGTATCTCAGGCACACAACCGCACGGCTGCACCCAGGATGGTCTGTTGGCAGTGAGAGAGTAACCAGATCAGGCAGTGGCCGGATGAGTGAGCATGCACGGGAAGCAGGGCACATGCCTTGGCATCGGAACAGTACTTGTTCCTGAGTGCGCTATTAAACCCAGATGTTGAAAGAGAACGTTACGTTGATGAGGTCTCAGAAAAGCGGGATGAGTGCATGCACGGACCTTGATCTTGAATGCGCGCTTGAAGCCCGAGGCAAAGAAGCCGCCAAAGGGCGCGATGGAGGAGGCGAAAATGGCAAACACCACCGCATGGCGCTGGAAGGGCGACATTAACATGTGGCCCTGGGGGCGAGGAGGGGAGAAGGGTGAAGGAGGGAGGGAGGTGGGGGAAGGAAGATGGAAGAGAGAGTTAAGGAAGGAGGAAGAAAGAGAGGGGGGAGGGAGGGGAGATGGGAAGAAAAGACAAAACTCCTTACGAAACAGGCTCATTGGAAAACTTTGATGGGAAGATGAGGAACATGAGCGGCCGAGGGGTAAGTAGAAAAAGAGAAAAAAGGGAACGAGAGAACAAGGGAGGGAGAAAGCACGGAGGGGAGAACACGAGGGAGAGCGGGTACGCAGAGGCAGTGAAAGAGATCCGAGGACAAGGGAGGGAGCGGGACGGGAAGGTACCGAGGGTGCGATGACTCGCAGCCAGAGAGGCACTGTGCGCAGCTGCTGCTGAAACATGAAGTCCGGGCGACAGTGCAGCGGTCCCGTGCTCAAATCCTGCAAGAGAGGTGGCGAGGAAGGGGAAAGGGAGAGGGGAAGGACGGGGAGCCGGAAGGGAGAGGTGGCGGGGGCGAACGGATGGGAAGGGGAGGGGATGGGGATGGTGGGGTGTGGAGAGGGAGAAAGAGTATGGTGGGAGGGGAGTGAGGTGAAGTAGAAGTGGAGTAGGTTGGTAGGAGTGGGTGCAGGGGAAGCAGAAGAAAA